GGCCTTATATGGAAGATAGAGATTTCTTACCATTTGTCAAACCCTTACCAAAGAAAAAGTAACCAAATGAAACTTTTAAAAAAGATGATTGCATAAAGATATTTATAGACTTTTCTATGTCACTAACATTGCTGTTTATGGAATAAAATTGTTCTAAGGTTTTATGATATACGACGGTTTACACTTGCCTTTTTTTTTTTCAAGTAAAAAATAAAACACTCGAGATAAAAAGTTTTTTTTTTATATTTATTTCTTTATTGGGCTTAAAAAATTTTACATACCGACTAGCATATATCGATTGAGTAAAATTTTCTTGCTAATTAAAAAAAGATAAATGGCATCTCTCAGCACCAAGTGGAGAGAGAGATGTTTTCAAGGATAAATGTTGGTGGCAGTAAAAATAGAAATGTCAGTGTTGCCACTGATGCAATGTGTGAAGAAATAATCATAACTACTCCATCGATTTTTTATTAATTTGATTACAAAGCATACAAATATTTTCTTTATGTATTGCTGTAGAAAATAACGCATACACCTTTTATATTCTCACTTAATATTCTTCTGCTTCCTCTTCTTCACCCTCAAGAGAGTCGGTGCCTACTTCCTCGTAATCTTTTTCTAGTGCAGCCAAATCTTCACGAGCTTCAGAGAATTCACCTTCCTCCATACCTTCACCAACATACCAATGGACGAAAGCACGTTTGGCATACATTAAGTCAAATTTGTGGTCAAGGCGAGCCCAGGCTTCAGCAATGGCCGTTGTATTAGATAGCATGCACACAGCACGTTGTACTTTAGCAAGATCTCCGCCAGGAACGACAGTTGGTGGTTGATAGTTGATACCGACTTTGAAACCGGTGGGACACCAATCAACAAATTGGATGGTGCGCTTGGTCTTAATAGTCGCAATTGCGGCGTTGACATCTTTCGGTACGACATCACCACGGTATAATAAACAACATGCCATATATTTTCCATGACGAGGATCACATTTGACCATCTGATTATTGGGCTCAAAGCAGGAGTAGGTGATTTCGGCCACTGTAAGTTGTTCATGGTACGCTTTTTCGGATGAAATGACCGGAGCGTAGGTGACCAATGGGAAATGAATACGAGGGTAGGGGACCAAATTGGTTTGGAATTCAGTTAAATCCACGTTGAGAGACCCATCGAAACGAAGTGAGGCGGTGATAGAAGATACTACTTGGGCAATCAATCTATTTAAATTAGTGTAAGTAGGGCGCTCAATGTCGAGGTTACGGCGACAGATATCATAAATAGCCTCGTTGTCGACCATAAAGGCGCAGTCGGAGTGTTCCAATGTTGTATGAGTGGTTAAAATAGAATTGTATGGTTCAACAACTGCGGTCGACACCTGTGGAGCAGGGTAGACGGAAAATTCCAATTTAGACTTCTTTCCGTAGTCAACAGAGAGACGTTCCAAGAGCAAAGCACCGAAACCAGAACCGGTACCACCACCAAACGAATGGAAAACCAAAAATCCTTGGAGGCCGGTACAATTATCCGCAAGTTTTCGAATGCGATCAAGGACAAGGTCGACGATTTCTTTACCAATGGTATAATGACCACGGGCGTAGTTATTGGCAGCATCTTCCTTTCCGGTAATTAACTGCTCGGGATGGAACAATTGACGATATGTACCGGTACGAACTTCATCGACTACAGTTGGTTCCAAATCAACAAAAACAGTACGGGGAACGTGTTTGCCAGCGCCAGTTTCAGAGAAGAAAGTATTGAAGGAGTCATCACAGACCCCGACAGATTTGTCCGTTGGCATTTGTCCATCAGGCTAATCAAAAAATAAAGTTATATTATTATCAAATATTATAGAAGTATATTTTTAAGAGCCATATATACAGCCACAACAAAAAAAATAGAGAAAGCGAACAGCATAACATATGTCAAAATCTAGATGGTCTATTCTATTATTCAAATTTCTTCTTTCTTTTAGAAAACAACCCTTCGACTTTATTGTACTTCCAACCAATGTTTTTTTTTTTTAAAAAAAAAATAATAAATACTTACTTGAATACCGTGCTCAAGGCAGTATAGTTCCCAGCAGGCGTTACCGATTTGGACACCAGCCTGTCCAACGTGGATAGAGATACACTCACGCATGTTGTAAAGTGTTAAGAGTGATTAAAAAAACAAAGAATTTTAATTTGAAGAGGAAGCTTTTTGCTTTAAACTTTGATATTGAAAAGATATATCGGGGGTTGGTTGCGCGCTCACTTAAGTTAGGGAAAGTAAGCTAAAAGAACCTAAGAAATTTTTTTTTGGCCTGAAATACGTTTTATATAAAAAATTTTGATGTGACATGACCAACCTGCACCAATCAACAATCAACAACAAGGCAACGCCAGCCTAGCCTGTTATTACCAAATACAGACTACGCGGTTATTGTTGTTGACAAACAATAATATTTTATGTACCATTTTCATTTTTATGCTTTTGGCGACATTTTTTTGCAGGTTCACAACATTATTAGATTGCCATAACCATCTTAGGTTTATAGATATACTGCGCCACAGATAATAGAGCCGAACGGATTGTGAACTTTAAAATTTCAAACTATCAAGAAGATAAATTAATGAATGTGACGAACAATCTAACAACGAACAATCGATGAATTATGATGTTGTGTATCTTTATCAGAATTTTTTTTTTAAAAAAATTTCTATATTAATATTAATTAAAAAAAAATGCCGTTTAGGAAATCAAAGTTTTTCGTTTAAAGAAACTCCTAAACACAAGCCACAATTATATAAATAATACAGTCTGTTAATAAAGTTTTTTTTCTAACAGTATAATTTATTAATATATAAATTTATAAAATTAAATTTATATATACTGTATATATAATACAGTAGTATTAAATTTCTTAACGAAAATTTTGAAAAAAATTAAACTTTAATCTAAAAAATATAGTAAAATGAAATATAAATTTTTTAGCATTTGTAAATAATTTTGATTAAAATGTTTTTATATTAATTAACAATATTATTATTATTTTTATTTTTTGTAGTCAAACAAGTATGTACTATTTATTAAATCTTTACAGAAAACAAATAATGTATGGTACATTATATTGCATAAACTTTTCTATTGCCTTAAATACTTGTTTTTAACTAATGTCTTTAGGTGTGACTTTGGAAATAAAAAAAGTTGCTTTCTTTATTATTTACTTATTTATGGAATTCAATTCTAAAAATCATTGCCTGCAGTTCATTACTACAGTTTATCTTTTCAAAATCTAGACTACTTTTTATATTCCTAACTATTTTCTTTCTTTTTTAATTTATTTCCAAATCAAGATCTTATTTTGAATTTGCATAAAGAAATCTTCTATGTTATTTTCTTGTAGATTTTTCGAACTTGTTTCCTTCTATTTGGGACCTTTTGATTTCCTCTTCTTTTTTCTTATTTTACATGTATCTTTTTTTTTTATATCTATATATTTTGAATTTTCTTCTTAAGTTCTATAATCTGGCATATCTATTATTTCATAGTTTTTTCCTAACTTTCTTATAGATATTTCTTGAAAACTTCTTTAGTAACTGTTTTACTTTATGATTTTGGTCTTGGCTTTGACTATTGCTTATATCTATTTTGAGATATTTTCTTTTAAAAGAAATCTTAAACACAAGTTTATAATCTTTATTATATATGTGTTTGTATTTAATTTAGACATTTTTCAAAAACTATATTATGTTTGTATTACTAAATAACAATTAATAAGTAATTGGGAATCATATTTAATTCAGAATCATATTGTTGATCAAATTTTCTTTTATAGTAATAAGGAAACATGTATAATTTCTATACCTGTAAAGAATTTATACCTATACTATTTTTATAAAAACTCTTGTTTTATAGTTTGCCTATCTTGTATTTCTTTTGTTTAAGTATTTTTCAACTATTTATTAAATAGTTAATTCTGATTTTTATCCTATATTTCTTTGCATATTTTTGTGATACTGTTGCAAGAAAGATAATGTTCCAAGGATTTTTCTTCTTGTTAATAATATAGATACTTGGTCAGGTTTATATATTTTGTAAGGAATCTTTTGATCATGTTGTCTAGGGTTGATAGTTTATTATATATTAATTTTATTTGAAAAGCTTTTTTTTAAATTTGTTTAAGTAATATTGTTAGAGATCCTTCTATTTTATTTGCTTTCTAAAAGTTTTTCCAGTCAAAGTTTTCTTGGTTATCTATTTTTTGGGCCTATCTTTTTTATATTTGATTTTAATTTGCCTATTTTATTAGAATATTTCTCTTGTATATTTCTTTAATGAATTCTTTTATTTCTATATTAATAGAAATCTTATTCCAGTATAGTGTTATTAAAGCTTCTTGCTAATATCAACTGTTCCAACAAATCTCAGATTCCTCTTTTGTTACTTTGATAAAAAGATTCATCTTATTATTAGTCTCATTCTTATTATAGACTTTTATTTTAATTATTTAAATTATAATTTGTTTCTTATATTTTAGATTTATGTATCTTGTTTATAGTTATCAATTCTTTCACTTTTTGTTTTTTTTTTCTATATCTCTAATATGGAAGTTTAAAAGTTTTTGCAAAGTGTTAATATAGGTTGTACAATCTATTCAGATTTTTATTTGACTTTTTTGAAATATAACCAAAAGTATTAGAATGATTGCAACAAGTTTTGCCCAAAGTGCTGATGGCTAGTTATCTACTTCTGCTTGAAAAGATCTTCCTGGATTTGGTCCTTAGACTTATAGCCAGGTAGTTTATATTTTTAATATTTGGTCTTTTGCTTTGCCATATAATTTGTCTATGTAAAAACAATAGAATTGTCAAAAGTTACTTTTTTTATTAATTCTGTATTCTTCTGTCAAAACTTGTATGTAGTCTGAAGATTAGATGTGTTCTTTGATTATTTGTACTCTTCAGTCTTCTATTTCAACTACCATAATATAGTTGTCAATGGTTTCTTTTTTCTTGCAATGTTTCAATTCTTTTTTGACAAGATTTTTCAAGACATATATATTAATTGGAATTTCTAGTTCATCTGCTTTTCTAAAAGTTAAACATTGATTAATAATATTATATGATAACAACCTGATCTTTGATCTTTTATTACCTTCGTGAAGATTTGTTCCAATTAATGAACTTCTTGTTTTTTTATTGGTCTGGAATTGAATAGTGCCTTTACTTTTTTGAAGTTTGACTGTATCTGGTCTGGATCCTATTTTTAAGTTATAGACTTTTGCTTGAGAAGTTTGATGGTCTGAGTTTTCTTTACTTCTATATTAGATAATTTGTCTATTTAGTTTCTTTGAACTTATAATCTTCTAATTCCATCAACATCGATTTTTGTTTGGATTAGTTAAAAAAAATATTCTATCTTGTTCTTTCCAGTTCCAATTTTGTCATTTGTTATTTAGAACATTATATTTATTTGCCAGGGTGAATTGGATTTTGCTAAACCATAATAGTATTAATTTTTTGCTAGTGTTTAAGAGAATTTAAATAATTTTCCATGGTAGTACTGTTTTGCTATCGCTGTTGATTATTTGATCTACAAAAATTATGTTATACTTTCTTAGAGATAGAATTGCTTTCCAATATAACTTTATATTATTAAAAATATTCTTAATGAATAGTAAGCCTCTTTTTCAATCAAAGTAATTTGATTATTGGAAATTGAATATTGTAATTTCTAGATTGTTAGTTATTTTTAGAACTTGAACCGATAAGTTTTTTAAATATCTAAATAATCGAGAAATGTCATTAGTTAGAATATTGCTTGGTTCCCAGTTCTGAACTTAAACTTGTTTAAGACAAATTAATATGAATATATTGACTGGACCCATATTATATAGTCTATTTATAAAGTTGAAAATCTGATTCTCTGCTTGGATTTCCTCAATATTTTTAATATTGTAAATCTTCTTATAATAGATAGCTAAATTGGAAATTGTTAAGACCAATCCTGCCACTTTTTTTAAAATCTTTTTTAATTATACTGTTAGATTGTTACATGTATTTTGATCTAAGAAGTAGTATTGTATTCAGTATTCTATATGTGGAATAAGCACTCTATTTAGGATATATTCTATATGTTTGTCTATTACTTTTTTTTTTTTGGAGACTTGATACTATTGTTATGATTTTATGATTAATTCAATAGATTATATATTTGATATATCTTTCGTTTCCTATTCATATTTCTAAAAATCTGATAAAGCTGTTGTGATTACTTTCAATTATTTTTTATTGGTTTACTTCAATTTTAATCACATTTGATCTTTTGTTATAGTTGTTTATTGTGATCAGTACTAATTTGTTACCATTGATTTAAAAATCATTGGCTATATAGAATCACTTGACTCTTTTTAGAATATTTCTCATATCTCTTTCAGATCTGACAATCCATGTGGTGTCATCCATATATACTATACACTAGTCCAAATTGGGTTATTCAGCTGCCGAATTACAGCCGATTAAATCCAAATTTATTAATAAAAGTTTATACCGAAGTTTTGTTGTTTGGTCCAATTT